TTCAAACCCAGATAATCGATTATTTTAAAGAATAATCGATTATTTTGTTCTTCAGATTTCTGGAAATCAACCAAGAACAATTTAATCGATTATTTAGCTGGATAATCGATTATTCCAGAGAGTTGTTTCTGAAATAATCGATTATTTTGGCAAATAATCGATTATTACAGCAAGGCATGCCACTTAGCCCATTTGCTGAAATAATCGATTATATTTAACAATAATCGATTATTTTGAGTTAGTTCTTAAAATTTCATTTTAAGCCTCAAAATAACTCTCCAATGTTTTTAACTCATCATCATCTACTCCCTACTTAATCCTAGACAAGATTTGCTCAATGCACAAAGCACACACAATTACAAAAATTCATTTCCTAAGTTCTATTACATAGTTCCAGTTCATAACATTCTCTTTGACTCTTCTTTAACTTTGTTTTTGTGCTCTCCAAGTTGTTGCATGTTGTGATCATCAAAACTCTTTAAGCTTCAAGCTCTCCTAAGCTCAACAAATATATGTTGTTAAATTTTATATATTTATGTATCAAATAAACTTATATATATATATATATATATATATAATCTATAATGATTATATATAACACTAATAAGATGCAAAAGACTTAATTTCTATTGTGCTAGCAAATTCACAGAGATTCTATATCAGGATACACCTCATGAGACAAATGTTTTTAGCCTTGATGGAAACTCTAGTTAATAATCTAATGTCTCTTGTCAAACAAGTTTCAATGAATCAAGTGAAAGCACTTAAACGAGAATTAACCCAAGAGAATTTAGTCCTTACCACAATTCGAACCCAATTATGTCTATAAAGCATATGGCTAAAACCCTTGTTATTGATTCTCAACAATTCAAACATGATGTAAGAAGAAGCATTCAGAAGTTGGATATGCAACTGAGACATGTAACATCCTCTATGAATAGGTTTGAAGCACAAGAATAACTATTCCCTAAATTTGTTGTGAACTTGATGCAAAATGTTATTGAAGATATTAAGAAAGGTGATAAAGTAACGCATGAAAAGGGTTTATGTTGGAGAAAGGAAAGAACCCAGAGTTCCCACAATAAGAAGTTGATCGACCTGAAGCCACCAAGGACAACCAACTAATTAAAGGTCTTAGTGAATAAGTTTTATACCTACCTCTTTTAATCAGAAGGTTCTGATTTCACTCCTCTTTGTCAAGATTTCTTGAATAAATCTTCTTTGTCAAGATTTCTTGAATAAGTGCTTTCTCAAGAACTCTTCTCAGAGGTCCACTGCCAACATGCTTCTCAACCATCCTTTTCTTTTCATTACAGATAAAAAATTATGGGTAAGACTCATCATTCTTTTTCATGAATTAATCTTTTCTTTTGTTCTTCCTAAACCCATTATCCAAATAACATAGAATTTGCGATTCTAATCATACAAACATATAAGGCCTAGACCCTAATTGCAATTAACTAACTCTAGGATTCTTTTTTTTTTAGAAAAATGAAAATTTTATTGAATCCAGACTCATCAAGACAGGGCATGTTGGTCTGGAATTGGATAACAATTCTGCAGAAATTACACGTGGTATGTCAAGTTCGTGCGATTTCTCAAATTCACTCTCAAGTTTGTTACCAAGTGACCTCCTTTCACTATTAGAGTAAAAATACAATAATTGTGCAAATTTATTTGCATGTTGTTTATATCCAGAAATCAACTTAGGCATCAAGTTGATTTATATTTTATAACACTCTTGAATTCTCCTCAATTAATTGTGTTGGATTTCTTGATAAATTTATTTATCTATTTTTTCATTAGTGACAATTCAACTGGTATTAAAAGAATTTATAACAATTGCATATCTTGTTTTATTTTATCGATGAGTTATGAGGGTTGTTATCGCGTCCTGATACCTAGGCATGACAATCTAACCCGCCACCGGAGGTACCCGCCCGAACCCGTCCCGATTTGGACGGGAAAACCCCGTGTTTATCGAATTCGGGTTCGGATTCGGATTTAAGTTTTCCCCGATTGATAAAATCGGGGGCGGGGACGGGGACGGGGATGTTAATACCCACTCCGCCCCCGCCCCCATACCCGCCCCGCTTAATAATATAATTAAAAAATTAT